TGTGTGTGTGTGTGTGTGTGTGTGTATAACGTGAACGTGCTGGACCTCTGCGGAAGGCCTCTCGTAGGCAGACGCCGCCGCCGCCGCAAAGTCGCTGGCCGGCTCATAGGCTCAGGGTTGATGTCACTGCGGTGCCTCTGAGCTGGAGGTCCCACGGTTGTGGCACTAGCTAGATAGCTAGGTCGAGTTCAGCCGCTGTCAGGAGAATTTTAGCGGCCGGTTTCTCTGATCGGTAGTTGTTTTTTTTCCGTGGTTTCTCCAATCGCCGCCACGCGAATGCCGGGGCAGTACCCTAACAAACAAACCGCGATCTTTCCTTCCTCTTCCTTGTCCTAACCTCACCCCTTACACTTTCATGAACTACACTATCACACTTCTCGGGAGACGGGCTTACAGCTTGTCCCGGCTGGGGCTGTGCCACGCTGGAAGGTGCCTGGTTAGGGAATTTCTTGCAAGCCGGTTCTTGCCATCGAGCGGGGAGAGATCACCGTCACCTCCAGCAATGAAAACATGCACTACGCTACAAGACTCATGATCTTAGCAGTTAACGCACCCGGAATAACTAGTTGATCGATCCAAAAAGCCTAGTCGCTGGCGGAACTTCGGCAGTGGTAAAACAAGACTAAAGGAGGTGGACGATATTTTTTTTAAATATATTTACTGGTTTGTAGACGTAATACATCGTTCAGTGTAACCAGTTTACAGATGTGTTTTCAGGTTTTTGCTAGTTAAAAATCTTAGATAATTGAATGTAAGAGGATACTCTAGGGGAGAACCTTGGGGATATGCATCACGGTTGGCTCAGAGAAAGATAATGCTTTTGTGCGAATGTGTGGTTGTGTGAGTGGTGTGAGTGTGTGAGTTATTGTGTGAGTGTGCAAGTGTGTGAGGGAGAGGGTCAAAGGGGGGAAGAGATTTTTTTTTTGCGATTGTGTGTAAATGAGTGTCAGTTTATTTGCATGTGCATTCGACGGTCTGTGGGTAGGTGGGAGTGCATTCTAATGTGCCTCTCGGTACCAATATACGAAATATAATAGATAGATTTATTATTTCTGCAGGTAGGTATACAACCTGGTTAATGAACACTACAATTTACATATTTCAACTAAGAATAGTAATACATTGTAATTTTAAAGCATTTTAAGGCAATAATATAAATAACAGCATTACCTATACACTTTATGACTGTCCTGCACGGAATTTTTAACTAATAAATACACTTCACTTCACTTCAATACACTTGAACTTCACTTCTCTTTCTACTTCTCTATTGCACTACACTTGACAACATATCACGACACTCTAATTCAATTACTACTTTAAATATAATTGTATATTTAATAAACCAATGCATTCAATAGTGATTATCACAATACTACTAACAATAAAAATAACAATTATGATAAAATTATAACTAAAATAAGACGTCGCTTCGTGCGTGCAAAGCCTCACACGTACTGCACCGTTCTTCGGCGCCTGTTGGCCGCCGCGCTGTTTTCGCCTGCGCCATTAACAAAGCCCCGGCGCGCGGGGCGGCGGACGTGAGCGGCTGGGCGGCTGGCGGGGGCGCAGGGGCGGGGAGAGGCAGCAGAGGACGAGAAGCCAAAGGCCGTCACTCCGGAGGCGGAGATGACGCAGGACAGAGTGGGAAGAGACAGTAGGAGCTGAAAGGCGGAAAATTAAAGGCGCGGAGGCAGCGGGCAGTAAATTAAGAGGACGTCGTGGGCAAGAGAAGAACCGAAAGAAAAGTTGATACTCGTATGTGGTGGCAGTACGTGGAGATGACGCAAGAAAAAGTGTATTTGATCGGTATTTGCAAGAGGAGAAATAGGCAAAAAAAAAAAAAAAAGATCAGAAGGGAAGAAGTGAAAGAAGAATAATGGATGTGGTTAAATCAGCAGATAAAGTAAAAACAACACTAACATCTATTGGTATATTAAAGAAAAGTATTACAAGAACGGTGAGAACAAAAGAATGGAAAATGAAGTGATTGGGAAGGTGTGAACAGGGAGAACTCAAAAATGGGTAGAGGTGTATTCCTGAAGGGGGAAAGCCAGGAAAGACTTTGGGGCTGTGGGAAAAAGGAGAATAATGAAAGCATCGCCTTCGGACCGGACGGTGTCCGCAACTTAGTCGCGCTCTTAACGCGCGCCAATAAATAAGAAATAGCGGCTCCCGCAGCGCGGGAAGGTGAAAGAGCTTCAGGGGACAGACGGCTTTTCAAAATGTACAGTGAGACATGAATATTGAAAGAAAAGAGAAAGCGTCAAGAGCAAGATAAACACGAGATAAAACCCTGAGAACGCAGAGTAGAAGGTTTGGCAAGCTCAGGGGAAGAAATGAACAAAGCAAACGGTGTAAAGGTGGGAGATGGAAAATAGGGAGGAAGGAGAGAAGTATCTCATTACTCTGGCAGTCAGTAGAAAGAAAGGGGAACAAAGAAAAGTTCGCTTTCGGTCCACCAGAAAGAAAGATAAAGCCCGAAACCTCACGACCTCTCAATTCGTACAAATAAATAAGAAACAGCGATGCCGTTATCTCGAAAACAATATGGAATATTGTAAGAGGAGAGATTTATTTTAAAGAAAACTCACAGTAGAGGAGGAGAACTGAAAGAAAAGACGTATTGCTAGTAAGATAAACACAATAGGATAATGCAAGCGAGAGATTAGGGGAACAGAAGAGCCAAGTATAAAGGTCTACAAGCGTGATTGAATCCGCAAGACAATGCAAAAGAAAGCAGAAGAAGCTACAGAAATACTTATTATTACTCTCCAGGGACCACAGCAGAAGAGCGAACCATGACACTCATTGCCTTTGGGACAAAGAGGGAGAGCCAGTCGGACGCCCGAAGCACGCTCTTAATTCGCACCAATAAACAAGAAACAGAGGCTTCCGCAACGGCCAGCAAGCCTTGCCCTCCCTCCCGGCCACCGGGAAGCGCAGCGGCGTGGAGTGGAGCGAAGTGGAGGGGGGCTGCTGAGCGCATGCTGCTGCGCCCCGCCCCACCCCGCCGCACCGCACCGCTCCGCTCCGCTCCGCTCGGCACGGCGGCTCGCCCGGGCCCGAGTTTAGGTTGTTGACTTGTTTGGCCTTGAGAGTTCGTTTCAAGGGAAGACCACAAAATTGCGGCGGGCGGGCGCCGCGCTCTTCTGGGGTCGACGCTCGCCGCGCGCCGCTCGGGCTGCTCCGGCGCTGACTCACGCGGCGCGGGGTGGACTCCGCCTCAGACGGCCTGGGTTCGCGGCCCGGCGCGCCCGGAGGAAAACGCCGGGACATCGCGCTGAGGAGCACGGCGGGGCGTAATTTGGGCGGCGACGCAGCGTGACCGGCGACGAAACCGCCGCCGCCGCAGACGACGCGCGCTCTCTCGCGAGAGGTCGGCTGCCCGTAAACGGGGTTATACCGGGAACGCGAAAATTGAATTGGTTTTTTCCTCGGTTCCTTGGTTTACGGTCCAGTGCGGGCGGCCTTGGCGCTTAACGTGGTCCCTGGGACAAAGGAGGCAGGCGCGCCCGGCGCACGGAGCTTGAGGACACCCGGTCGTCAAGGGGGGAGCAAGGGGCTCAGTGTCAAGACCGGGTCGCGGAAGCCCCTTTCGTCGCATGGCGGCGGTTGGCGCGTTCCCGTTCCCGCTCCCCGCGTGGTCGGGGGGCATTCGGGGGTCCAGGGGGCGGGGGCGGTGCGCCACGTGTCAGCGCCCGCACGTTGCGTCGCCAGCTAGGCACCGGGGCGCTCCGCGCCTGCCCTTCCGCCGCCGCGCCCGCCAGTGGGTGTCCCGCTCCGATGTAAACAGAGCGCAAGTCGCGTGAGGGCAACGACCGCTGGTGGCGGCAGCGCTGGCGCTGGCGTCCGCTGCTCCGCCAGCTGGCGGGTGGAGCGTGAAGTGGCGTGGCGGGGAAGCGAGTGGGAGGGGGAGGGGCGCCCGCGCGATGCGTTCCTTTGTGCCGAAGGAAGCGTCGCTGTGGAAGCGCGCTCGATACGCGCCGTGCGGGTGTCAATGTTGTTTAGGGATTGATAAGGCTGCGCCTGCGCCGGCCGCGTCTCAGCTGAGTGCCTTGCCCGCTTCTCGGCCGGCCGGTCGCGTCCGCGGCGCCCGGCCGCCCGGCACCCGGCCGGCCTGCCTGCCTGCTGCCTCAGAAGCGGAGAAGGCGGAAGGGGCGGCTCGGGGCGTGTTGTGGGCCGAGCTTCCAGCCGCTGCCGCCAGGGGCGCCCCGTCGCCGCTTCCGCCCCCGTGCCTGCTCCCTGCTCCCGCGCCGCTCCCGGGCGCCACCGGCAGCGCGACCCCCGCTGGGCGCCCCCTGGCGTGAAACGCGCCGCGTTTCCACGCACTTGCCGGCAGAGCGCGTTAATGAACTTGCCGCGCTACCTGCGTCGCACTTAGCTTCCGACACACCGGTCACGACCACAAATTACCAATAATCCTATTACCTGCCACATTTCGTGGGATTATAAAACATTGAATTTAATATTTCATTCGCATTCCCAAAGAATTCCGCTATACACGTAATCGAATCGATTTAACGTTCTATCTAACATAGTATTTGCAAATCTCATGGGAGTATAACATCGTGATCCATTTTGGAATTACGCTAATTAGACAAACGATATTATTGTGTTTACATGAAAAATCCAAGATTGGTATGAAGTGAATCTGATGGTTTCTGATTCATGTTACTATACTATAGGTGAATCTGCTGTGCGTAGTCGGAGAATAGTAAGATTAGAAAGAGTGAGTTTTGTTCCGTTGCAAAACAATCCCACATCGTCCACAATTTCAAAGGTTCCTCTTTAATGGCCAGATGTTCTTTTAAAATTTATTGTTCGCTTCAAAATCACAAAGCATTTAACTATGATTTGTTATAGTTCAAATAATCAATTTTAACAAATGACTATTTTAGAACATGCTATAGATTTTAAGGTCATGGTCCATATGATTATCAAGGATTGAAAATCGAAACACACCGTACAATTGAATATATTCGATTCAATAAAATATATTAATAACTTGACTACTCAATTCTCCTCAAAGAATAATCGCGAATACATAACATGCTAAGCTTGGAATGAAACTGAATGAATCATTGAATTACAAGATAGTTTAATACTCACGGTGTCTTGTCTTTGTTTTTTACGCCGCAATCACAAGTTGAAAATACCTGGGACATCTGTCACTTTATTTATTTAGATCGGCAATAACCATTAAACCTGTTCTAAATTTGTTATTATGCGTCAAGTATCACACTCTTGTGAATATCATTAACGTAGGTGATTTCTCAATTGTTAATACTGATGCTGACGTGCATGAAGAGATTGGCTCTTTGTTTCAATGCAATACGACGACGTCTTGAATACGGCGATGACAACACAGCGCCTACGCAGAGCACGGGCTGCTCACAACCACCCAAGCGTCTCTAGGCTCCCGCCGTCGGGACGCCTGCTGAGAGAAATTACTCTAAGAAGAGACCAGTTTGTCAGTTCGGAAAACAAATGGAAGTCATGTTGGTTGGCGGCTTTTCAGGAAGTTGTGTGGAATCCTTTTGCATTGCATCCATCTACATACGAACGAATTGAGCCCATGCACATAACCTGCAATTACGTTGCCAGCAACTGCCGTGCAGTGGCTGCCAAAGCGGTCCCTTCTTAATAACGTTCGGAGCGACCTGCTGTGTAATAGCCAGACCGCTTGCCTTCCACCTCCGTCCAACGAGGTTTAACTCCCGGTCGATCTATGCAGCATTTGTGGTGGACAAAGCAGGATAGAAGCAGGTTTTCTCGGGGTTCTCCCGAATAGGTAGGGGGCGCTTCCCCTACACCTCGCGAGGCGAACTCCGCCTTCTCGCCTTTTTATAGTGCGATATGTCTGTGGTTTTCCACCTCTGATGGATGCACCGGCTGACGTGCATTGCGGCTTACACGCTTCAAATGAACAGGTGCTGAGTGTTCCCAACGCGCAGCTCGCAGCATTTCCTCGGTCGCTAGCGAGCTAATTTCTCACCACCTGGGGTACTCGGGTTTTATGCAATTGGAATATGTACTGCACGAAACAATGTGTGCTCACATCATGTTTCTCGGTTTCCCCTACCTCTGATTCAACAGCTATGTCATGTTCATTACTCAATACATCTGTCATTTGTCGTCATCGACGTCGCTATTATCAGATCTCTACGCGCATGCCCCTTTACGTAGGCCTATTGACGGCAGAGATGAAATGATCTGGTGGCGAAACAATGTCCAGTGTCAAATCTCTCTGTTTTCTATCCGTTAATTTCGAAGATTACAAATTTTAAAAGTTGTATGAATAAACTACATAAGAAAATGTGCTGAATGCACTACGTGTATAGGTTAATTTTAACTGCTTGGAAGTGATATGATTCGTTTAAAATTGGTGTCTATACAATCCAAGAAATTCAATTGCGTGCTGCAACGTTAAGCGGAAGTGGCTTCATAAACATGACAATGGACAATACGTTTATGCATGGAATGTGTCAAGCCCCGATAATGAAACACCTCGTTAAGATGCAAACGTTAGATTTAATTTAAAATGAAGGTATAAAGAACCAAAAATGGGAAGTGAAAGTAGAAAAGAAAAGTAATTTGTACGAACAGACTTAAGCATGCAAGATCTTAAAGAAAGAGAGAGGGGAAAAAATCATTCCGGAACCACGAATGTTGAGCTATCACTTGCATCTGATCATTATCACTCGATCCCCCCATTTGTAGAGCTTGTCAACTCGCCCCCGAGGGGTGGAAGCCGTGGGGCGGCACAGCTCTTCCGGTGACGGTGGATGTCAGAGGAAACTGATCTTTTCCTCTCACTCTCTCCGACCCCTCTTCCTTCGTTTACCCTCCCCCCTCTCCACCCTTTCTCCGCGTCCCCTTCCTTTCACCAGCAACATCTACAACAACAGCAAAGCGATGCCGTTATCGCGCGACTCCGCGCTTCGCCGCTCGCACACCCGAGTGGGACTCCCCCTCCCCC